GATGTAGCTCAGAGGTCAAATCCCGGTATTAAAAAAAAAAAAAAAAAAAAAAGAATGATGACACTTGCTCCTTTACTGTTGGAAATATTACCTTCAGAGAACCCAAAGCTAAGTCCCTCCCTCAGACTTGCTCAAGCTTAGGCCTCCTCCTCAATGGTAGCCTGAGTCCTATGACTACATGATGTGGAGATGGAGGGAAGAAGACATACCTCAATTAAATGACTCTGTAGGGTCATCCCCTCTCCAGGACTCCCTGTGAAATCAGCTACCAACTTCTCACTCAATTGGAATAATTCTGTTAAAACTCTCCCTTTCTTTAATATCCCGACAGCAACAATGCCCTCCTTCCTGTTCCTTGATTTGTATAGGAACCCTACTGCACCAAGGGCCTTTGCACTTGTAATTTCCTCTTTCCACTGGATCAATCCTTTACCTCCTTGAGGTGTTTAATTTATAATATCACCTTCCTACTATGGTCTTTCCTAACTCCACATACATACACTCATTTCTCTTTCCCTCTTTATGTATCAACATCTAATATATATGTGTTGGGTTTACTATTTCCACAAGCAAAGGTAAAAAGGATTTTTTGTTTTGTTTTGTTGTTATATCCCTCTCAAAGGATTTTTGTTTTGATTTGTTGTTATATCCCTGTCAGGTAGTCTAAATTCTTTAATTCTACTTGGGAATCTTTGCCTGTGGTGGGCTAGAAAGAGCTGTCAATGGTCTGTAAGTATAGAAGATGGAGATCCTCCTGATAACCTACTGGGAAGTATTAATTTATGTTTTCAAAATACCTGTGCCCTTAGCTGGACATAGAAACTCATAGTTCTAGCAACTCAGGAGGCTGAGGCAGGAGGATTTCTTGAACCCAGAAGTTTGAGACCAGCCTGGGCAACATAGAGAGACCCCATCTCAGAACAAACAAACAAACGAAACAAAAGACATATGGAATGTTTACACCACAAATGATTATTTTCAGGAGTTGCTGTGCATATGATAAATAATTGGTCATTTCTCAATTACTGCATTCAATTCTTCTTGATTTTCTTTTTTTTTAATTCACAAAAGAAACATCTCAGTCTCACAGAATTTAGTCATTTTTCCTGTTCAATTTTATCCTTGAAGCCAGGCAAATAAGAAAAAATTCTTTTTGAAATAATATCCTGCACCAATATGTTAAATGTGYATAATTATTAGAAAATTAATTATCCCAAGGTTACTTAATTAAATAACAAGCTAGTAGTGTTGAAGTCTTTCTCAGAATATAAAGAAATGAGTATGCACTGAGAATTTCCTAAAACATACAATGTCAGAGCTACAAATAAAATCCATTCCTTTTTCTTTTTTTCCACTATATATTTTTTTAATTCAAAGATCATTATACATTATTTCATAAGCATTACTTCTTTGGAAAAGGACTGGATAAGTCAGTTGTTTCATGAGTTCATGTGTGTACAGTATTTCTTAGCTCTTGTACTTACCCAGTAACATCAGTGATTTTAACAGAAACCTACTTCTGAGGCACCATCCCAGGCCTTCCCTGCTTGGAAACAAGGGACCCTCTCATGCTGCTCTTGACTGGTCTATTCCATTCCAGAGACCATGCCCCAGATATTCAATCCAGCCAAGGTAAAGTAGTAAAGCCAGACAGATATCATCTACATTCTTTATTCTGATCTGTATTTCTCACAAACTCTCAAAAGGAAGAAGGTAAAGAAAATGAATGCTACTGATAAGATGTTAAAGACAGATAACAATTATAGACAAAAAGACAAACAATTCATTATTATAAAATATTAGTGTTATGGTTTGGATATAAGATGTCCTCAAAAAAGCTCCTATTRATGTGGGAATGTTCAGAGGTGAAAGGATTGGATTATGAGAGTTGTAACTTAATTGGTCCATCCTTGTTTGAATGGACTGACTTGGTGGTAACTGTGGGCAAGTATTGTATGGCTGGAGGATGTTGTAACTGAGGATGTGCCTTTGAAGGATGCATCTGCCCCAAGGCCTCTTCCCACCCCACTTTTGTTTCCTGACCTCTCCATGAACTGAACAGCTCCACTGAGCCCATCCCCCRTGATGTGCTGCCTCATCTTGGGCCCTGAGCAATAAAGTTGGCCATCTACGGATTGAAACTGCTGAAACTATGAGCCCCAAATAAACCTGTCTTCCTCTAAGTTGTTCTTGTCAGCTGTTTTGGTCAAAGCAAATCTAACTAAAACAATTAGCTATCTGATTATAAAACAAAGCTTGATCCCTACCTCAGACTGTTCACTAGGATCCACATAAGTTAAAGGCCTATGTATATGAAATATAAAAATTTACAATATAGCAATATGGTAAAAAAAATACATATTTATATAAAACTGTTGGCCAAAGAAGCCTTTTAAAAATAAGATATAAGTATAAACCATAAATTAAATAAAAAATTAAAAATTTTGAATAACAAAACATACTATTGAAAACATCAAAGAAAAATGACAGATAAGAGTACATTCTTATAAAAAATCAAAAAGGGATTAGGACCCAGAATACATGAAGAACTTTTAAAACACAATAAGAAAATGAAAAACTAAAAAAAAAAAAATTAGAAGATCTGCACAGACACTTATGAAAAAAGATATCTAGATAGTAAATAAGCATATAAAGATGTTTATCACCATATGTCATTAGGGAATTGCAAATTAAAACAAAAAAATGCCACTGTGAGACACTTTTTAGAATGCCTAAATCCAAAACATTGACAACACCAAAAGCTGACAAGAATGTTGAGCATGARGAAATTTCGTCCCTTACTGATAGGACTGAAAAAATGGTGCAGACATTTGGAAAAACAATTGGGAAGTTTCTTATAAAATTAAACATACTCTTACCATATGATACAGCGATTGTGTGTTCTTTAATATTTACCCAAATCTGTTGAAAACTAGTGTCTACACAAAAATTTATGGATGCATATTTTTAGCAGTTTTATTCATAATTATCAAAACAGTAGCAACCACGATATACCTCATTCACCAGTGAACACACGCTGGTGCATCCAAACAATGGCTTATCATTCAGCACTAAAAACAAATGTGCTACTAAGTCGTGAAAAGACATGAAAGAAACTTAAGAGCATATTACTAAGTGAAAGAAGCCAATCTGCCAGGCATGGTGGTACACACCTGTAGTTCCAGCTACTCGGAAACTGAGGCAGAAGGATAGCAAATTCAGGGCTAACCAGGGCAACTTAGCWAG